TGATGGACCCATTGCCAAGCCTAGCACATGCCTTTTCACTCCTAGTTCAGGATGAAAAACAAAGAGAGATTAGGACAACCAACCAATTGTCTATTGAATCAACCTCATTGAATGTGAATGCATTAGGACATGGTTCATTCAAGATGAATTTCCCGGCAAATAACAATTACAATGGCATTCCTAGAGCTCGACTCATATGTGATTTCTGCAAGAAGCCAGGGCATAGTAAGGAGAGATGTTACAAGTTACATGGTTACCCACATAATAATCAGAATTCTGGTCAAAACTTTACTCCAAGTCATTCCCAAATGGCCAGAACCATGGACAAAACTCTAGATACAATAAAGACAAAAGAGTAGTTGCAAACGTACAAGGAGCCCCTAATGAAGCTTTGATCACTAAGGAAAATGAAAACAGAGCCCAAGATGATGGAAGGAATTTGAACCTGACTAAAGGACGATATGGACAGCTTGCGAGCTTACTTCAACAGTTTTATGTGGGGAATGGAGATGCTAGGAGATCCCTAGGAAGTTCAAATTCATCTAATGCCAATGCTGTCAACTTTGCAGGTATAATAGTATGTACCTCCTCCATTGATTTTGGCAAACTTCCGTGCAAATGCTTTGAATCCAAAACTGATACATGGATACTAGATTCAGGGGCTTCCAATCACATGACTTTTAATAGATCCTTACTGTCTAACATCAAGATGTTACCTTACCCTATCCTAGTAGTCCTGCCGAATGGCTATAAAGTCAAAGTACATGAGATTGGTGACGTTTTTCTCACATCAAAAATAGTCTTTGTACAAAGTCCTTTTGGTTCCCTCTTTCAAATTCAATCTTGTGTCAGTCTATTGGTTAACCAAACATCTTAAAGGCGTGCATCCTTTACTGATGATACTTGTCTTCTATGGGCCCCTTCAGTGAAGAGGCCTCTGGAGATTGGTAGAGTAAGAGATGGCTTGTACCTACTTTGCTCCAAGTGTTTGAGAGACAACAACTCTTTCACTGCAGTTTCTGATCACTCCTGTGTTGTAAATAGTTCCTGTTTGAATAATCTGCAATGTCATTCACCTTCACTTTTAAATAAGTCACCTCTGAATCAAATACAGAACCTTTCCCTTTCAACTGTTAATACTTCTTCTTTGAATGTTGATGTCGCTTGTTTTGGTTCTAATTCTTGTGTTTCTAAGGACAACAATGTGAACCTTTTATGGCACAATAGGTTTGGACATGTGCCATTTGTAAAAATGAAAGGTATCTCCACTATACCTGCTGAATTCTCCCCTGAACAACCTTTCACATGCACAATCTGCCCATGGCTAGACAAACCAGACTGCCGTTTCCCAAAGATTCAGTACCTCTTCCAAATTTTTTGAATTACTCCATGTAGACTTGTGGGGACCTTATCATGAACACGCATGACAAATATAGATACTTCATTACCATGGTAGATGACTATAGTAGAACTACTTGGACTCAGTTCCTGGCATGCAAAAGCAATGCACTACAGGCAATCAAGGCCTTCATCTCCTTAGTTGAAAACCAGTTCAAAACCAATATCAAGTCCATTAGATCTGACAGTAGATTGGAATTTAACAATCTTGAAGCCATTGTTTTCTTTCAGTCAAAAGGAATTGTCCACCAAAGAACTTGTCCCTACACGCCACCAAAATGGAGTGGTGGAGAGGAAACACAAATATCTTCTTGAAACACCCAGGGCCCTACTTTTCTAGTCCAAACTACCTTTAAAATATTGGGGGAATGTGTTCTAACAGCCACTCACATTATAAATAGGTTACTTACTACATATCTCAAAAACAAGTCTCCATCTGAAGTCCTATATGGCAAGTGACCAGACTATACACAGCTAAGAAGCTTTGGTTGTTTATGTTTCCCTACAATACCTAAGATTCACAGAAACAAATTTGAGCCAAGAACAGTTCCACATGTCTTTTTGGGCTATCCTGGTGTGAAAGGTTACAAAGTTCAAGGAAAATACACATTACCGGAGACATAATCTTCCATGAGTTTATATTTTCCTTTGACATCTGCTCTAAGTCCGTGTCGGTATCTTTTCCTACGTTCTTTAATGCTGTCTCCTCTTATGAACATGTGATTGCTAGTAATGACAGTGTCACTAGTGTGTCCACTAATGACTCATCGACTAACTCTTCATATATAAGATCACCTTATCCTGTTGATCCTGTATCTCTTTCTCCTCTTTCACCTTCTGTACCTCCGTTTTCAGCTTCCCCTCTTGATATTTCTGCACCTTCTCCTCCATGCCCATCGCCCATTCTTAGTTCTCCTCCTGTACATCACTCTTCTGAGCCTTTAAGAAGGTCACAAAGGGAACACAAAACTCCGACCTATCTAAAAGACTATGTACATAATGTTAGCAATCCTGACAAGCATTCATTCTCTCTTAATACTTTTTTTTCTAGTCATCACGACATTGCCCCTGAATCAATAACTCCTAACAGTCAGGTTTTGGTAAGTAGAATTTGCAATGATAGTGAACCATCTTGTTTTGAGGAAGTTGTTGTCACCCCTGCTTGGCAAGCAACCATGGTCCAGGAATTTGAGGCACTCTATGCTAACAACACCTGGAATCTAGTACTACTCCCTCCTAATAAGAAGGCAATAAGTTGTAGTTGGGTCTATAAAGTAAAGTACAGGTCTAATGGTACTATAGAAAGGTTCAAAGTCATGCTAGTTGTGAAAGGTTATACTCAGCAGGAGGGTGTAGACTTATCAGAGACATTCTCTCCGGTGGTAAATATGACTACAGTGAGAACACTTATTGCAATTGCAGTGAAGAATAACTGGTCAATGCTCCAATTGGATGTAAACAATGCTTTTCTCCTTGGAGATTTGCATGAGGAAGTATATATGCAGATTCTACTGGGTCTCATGGTGAAAGACCAATCTCTGGGTTGCAAGTTAAACAAATCCCTATATGGTTTGAAATAAGCAAGTAGGCAGCGGTATGAGAAATTAACTGAGGCTTTGTGCTCCAAAGGTTTCTAACCACTCCATGATACTATTCATTGTTTTACAAGCAGCAATGAGATTCAGTGGTTTATGTGGCAGTGTATGTAGATGATGTCTTGGTCATAGGAACAGATCAGGAGGAACCAAGTCAGTTGAAAGCTTTCCTTCATGATAAGTTTAAGATAAAGGACTTAGGCAACTTGCATTACTTTTTAGGTCTGGAAGTTCTATACAAGCTTGATGGTGTGATTATCTCTCAAAGGAAGTTTGTTTTAGATTTAACTTAAAGAGTACAACTGTCTGGAGTAAGTAGTTTTTGTTTTATTTCATGCAGTGATAGCAGTCAATGTTATTTTTAAGGCAAAGAGGATGCCGGATGAGTGGGGGGTGGAATACGATGGTTCCATTGTATAATAACAAAGGTGATATCTAGAGTTGTAACAATTATAGGGGTATCAAATTACTGAGTCACATCATGAAAGTGTGGGAGAGGGTGGTTGAAGCGAGGGTGAGGATGTCACTGTCTGTATCTGACAACTAGTTCGGGTTCATGACGGGTCGTTCTACTACAAAAGCTATACACCTTGTTAGGCGGTTGGTGGAACAGTACAGAGATAGGAAGAAGGACCTCCACATGGTGTTTATTGACCTAGAGAAAACATATGACAAGGTTCTTAGAGAAGTTCTCTGGAGATGCTTGGAGGCAAAAGATATGTCGGTTCCCTACATTATGGCGATTAAGGATATGTATGATGAGGCTAAGACTCGGGTAAGGACAGTAGGAGGCGACTCTGAGCATTTCCGATTGTTATGGGATTACACCAAGGCTCTGCGCTTAGCCCGTTCTTATTCGCCCCGGTGATGGACGCACTAACACACCATATTCTAGGGGAGGTACAGGGTGCATGCTATTTGCCGATGACATAGTTCTGATTGATAAGTCGCAAACCGATGTTAACGAGAGGCTGTAGGTTGGAGATAGACTCTTGAGTCTAAGAGTTTTAAGCTGATTAGGACGAAGACGGAATACCTAGAGTGTAAGTTCAGCGCTGAGCCGGGGGAAGTGGGCGTGGATGTGAGGCTTGACTCACAGGTCATCCCAAGTAGAGGCAGCTTCAAGTACCTTGGGTCGGTTATCCAGGGGGGAAGGGAGATCGACGAGGATGTCACACACCGTATTGGGGTAGGATGGATGAAGTGGAGGTTAACATCTAGAGTCTTGTGGGACAAGAGAGTGCCACCGATACTCAAAGGTAAGCTCTATAAAGCGGTGGTTAGACCGGCCATGATGTACGGGGCTGAGTGTTGGCCTATTAAGAACTCACATATCCAGAAGATGAAAGTAGCAGAAATGGGGATGTTGAGGTGAATGTGCGGGCACACTAGGATGGACAAGATTAGGAATGATGATATTCGGGAGAAGGTGCGTGTGGCCCCCATTGATGACAAGATGTGGGAAGCGAGACTCAGATGGTTTGGGCATGTACAGAGAGGAAAAGCCCAGATGCTCCGGTAAGGAGGTGTGAGCGGCTGGTTGTGGAGGGCATGAGAAGAAGTAGAGTGCGGCCTAAGAAGTATTGGGAATAGGTGATCAGGCAGGACATGACGAGGCTTCAGATTTCCGAGGACATGGCACTTGATAGGAAGATGTGGAGGTCGAGTATTAGGGTTGTAGGTTAGGAGGTTGTTGAGTCTTGCCTTACTTCGTACCATTGTTAGACTAGTCTAGTAGGGTTTTTGTCTAGATAGCTAGTGGCAATGTCGTGTCTTACTATTTTGCTTTTCAGCGGCGGACGTATTTACTAGTTATCGCTTTTGCTTTGCATCTTTCTTCTGGATTTCATGTTCCTATTTTTCTTATGATTTCTGTGGTGATACTGATATTCTCTCCTTTTGTCTTTTTGTCCTCTTGAGCCGAGGGTCTTTCAGAAACAGCCTCTCTACCCTTTCGAGGTAGAGGTAAGGTCTGCGTACACACTACCCTCCCCAGACCCCATTAGTGGGATTTCACTGGGTTGTTGTTGTTATTGTAGTGATAGCAGATGCACAAGCCACCGTGAAAGATCACCTTTTCAACTTAAAAACTTTTTCCAGATGGAAAATAAGGAATATGTGATAGATTGATCTTTCAAGGGCGCTTGTACATCTTAGGGCTTTGTGGTATTTAGCTATCCTGTGTCAAGTATTAAAATTTTGATAATTTTCTATGTTCATCTGTTTCCCTATTGAGATATATAATTTAATAATTAGTTTGTTACTGTTATAGTTGGTTATGTCGGTTAGTTAGTAGTTAGTGTAGTAGTTTTTTTGTGTCATCTCGCAGCGTGTGTATATATACTGTGTATTGATATCAATGAACGCCTAAGCTTCATTTCATCAATTTCATTCTTTGTTCTTCCCTTCTATCACGGTGAGTTCTAGAAGCTTCACCACTTCACCATTGCAGGTATGGTCGAGCTCATTCACACTGATTCTCAATGTCAATCTTGAAATTGGTTTTGTTTTACGTGTGTCATACATTGTTTTGGTGGACTAAGTGTGCGATTAAATTTTCATTACGAGAATGTTATTGCATAAAAGAATTAGCAAATAGGCATGGCTACATGGATGCCACATCCCTGCCCCTGGGGATAAAATTATTTGATGAATGTGGAACACTTAAGTCCATTTCAAGTCCAAATTCCATACACCATAAATCTTCAAACATTTGATTATCTTTGTCCCCCGTGCAGCAGTGGGGAATCTTGGACAATGGGCAACTCCCATTCCACAAACTAAACGACCATGCAGATTGCTGTTGTTGTTTGGTATATTGAATCATCCAATTTTTATAGATCTATTCCGCTATCTTAATCTATTTTCATATTGAGCCACTTTTTGTGCAATGTCTTTTCTGCATACTGCTATTATTTGAATATTGAGGAAAGCATGTCTAATTCGTTGTTAAGCTCCTCGTAATTTATTTCTCTGCAATGAAGAACCTACCACTCTAATCTGCAGCTAGTCTAAGTCAGACGTGTTGGGGAGTATATGTTGTGAGCTACTGCACAAGGTGTTCAGTTAGCTTTTCTCAAGTTTCTTTCTCATCCAGTAGACATCGTGTCATCTAAACAACTCCCCCTCCCCCCCTTTTTGCTAGTAATGAAATATTTCCTTACAGCGATAACATTGTAGGGGGAGCATTCTATGGCAAAGATGAAAAAGGAGGTTCTTTAATCAAGCTCCTAGGATTGTTCGAACAAGATGTGGTTATTTTGTATTGTTAATTGTTATTATAGCACCTACAGCATGTAAAGGATGTTAAAACAAGGTAACCTGCTGTTTGTTGATGTTTGTCAATATTGGAGTATTTAGGTTGCTTGACTTTTTTGATCTGTAGAATTGCTGATCTAAGTTGTACGAAAGCAGTCTTTTCTGTAATCCTTGCCGTTTAAGTTCCTTGAATTTTCACAAATTACTCATCCTAGTAATATGGAAGCATATAAATAGTAACGCAATTTGTGGGATTTAACCCTGATTCCCAAATAACAGTACAAGTTGGTTCAACAGATGGACTTAAAAAAGAGAAACAATTTTATCTAATGAAGTGAATCAAGAACTTATAAAATTGCTTGTTTCTATGGTGCTTCATGTTTTTGATAAAGTAAAGATAATACAGTGTGACCTGTTGTTTAAGCTATTAGTTTTGAAAAAGTGATTTTTGTGCGTCCTAATAGCATAATCAACAATTTGTTGTTTATATTATGGAGTGCTTCTGGAGAGCTATTGCAAAATATATCTTCCAATGATATTTTATCCTTGCACATCTTGCATTTATATTTTTGTCATATTATGAGTTAACATCTCGTTAATCCATGTTAGGTCATATTCAAACATGTAAGACTATCTTTAGACGAGGAGTATATGCTTATATTTGCTAATTTTACATTTAAATGATGTACAAAAATAATTGTCGATTTGCCAATAGTGTTTGTCTTGGCAGAGTCATAGTGGGTTCCTTTGTATCAGGTGTTGGAGGTTGTCCATATGTTCAGTTGAACCTGGATATATGACTACTGAGAGGGTGTTGCTTCTATGCTCAATGGACTATGAGTGAAGACAAATGTGGATCTCAGAGAGGCGAGAGCTTACATTGGCTGCAGACTTTATCACTATGGACCAACCCTCACTGTACCATCATCGTCTTCTGCATTAAAACATACTGACTCTGGCATGCATGTCCAGGTGAGCACTGCATGAACCCTCTGTGTCGCATGCAAAGTAGAGGGAGGACTTAGAAGAAAGATTATATGTATGGATTGCTTTGTGGAAGATAGAATTATAATTGTGCATGGGTTGGTAATTTTTAAGACGATAACAGTATGAAAAGGTGAAGGAACTACTATACTTTATGGAGCAAACTCATTTTAGAGCCTGTTTGGAATTGAATTTGGATGTAGTTGTGTGTAATTACATAGTTTGACATGTTTGTCTGGCCAAGTAATTACTTGGTCAACATAGAATTGAGTGTAATTACACTCTCTAATTCTCAAGGGGAGGTGAGAATTAGTGGTAATATGTGTAATTACAAGGTTATTTTTTAATTTCTTTCCTTTTTGTTTTTATTTTAATTTATTTTCTTTATAATTTTTTATTTTCATTATTTTAATTTCTTTTCATTTTTTTATTTATTTTTACTTTTTAATTTCTTTTTCTATTTTAAAATATATTTTTTTTGTACATTATTTATCTTTTATTTCTCTACCTTTACTTCTTGTGAATCCATGTAATTGGTCGTATATTTTATTTTTATTTATTTTATTTTCTTCATTTAGCATAACTGTGTTATTGTTCTAGTTCTTAAAACTACACCTAATATTAGAAATAATGAGTCATTAACAAACTTGGCATATCATGGGTGATATCATTAAAGTAGAATTTCGTTGTTGAATGAGGCCACAAACTTATTATGTCTCCTAATCTTAAGTTGTATTTGAATGTACTTTTATTATGTTTGAATTTGACATATGTTAATTTTTTTTTTTTTTTTTGGGATTTTGAATTTGTGTTATACATAACATTAATACGATTGCGGATAGTTGTAGATACAAGAGTCCTAGTTTATGGCTCTACTCTTTTGAATGTTTACAGCTCATTTATTGCCTTCTCGGAGCGCACTTTGGAGATGTCAGTTCTTAACAAGTTTGGTTCAATAAGGTTTGGAATTGCTTACCCATTACTCCTGAAATTATGTTGAAGAAACTTCAGAAAGATAACAATGGTATATTATTTTCTTCAACTTCTAGTCTATGTACTTTAGAATTTAGAATATGTCAATTACGAAGACTTTCATAAACTATGTAGAGAAGTCAAAAGAGCAGTCAATTAGCTTTGCATAAAAGGAACACAAAAAAGAACTAAAAAACAAAAAGAACTAAGTTGGTGTATTGATAATTTATGCATAACATTAATACATGAAGTAAAGGAGAGCGGATCCTACTAGTTGTGTTTGTTAGAACCCTCGACGTTGGTTGAAGAAATGAGATGTATTCTTGTTTACCCTAAAAATCGAGTAACAGTTAAACTTGTAATGTGGTTTTAAGGGTACGTGATTTCACTTAATACCAATTGATTGATTTAGAGATAAGTGATGGAATTGACAAGAAATATAAAACAAACCGATATTTGGATAGTGTCCTCGAGCTGATGAATCCTTGAGAGTAGTAAAGTAAAAACAGTTAAAGAGCAATAAATTGATGAACAATAGAGAAATATTATATTGCTTTGATCTGTATGAATGTAAAGTGTTTACAAATGATGAGGACCCCTCTTTATATACTAGAGGAATTCTTATTGTGGTACAATTCTAATTACGGAAGTAAATCCCATGACTGATACAAATAATCGCCCTTGATTTGATCTACTCCGAGATTTTCGCCGTGGTCTCCGACCCGTTACGGATATTTCGCCTTTCCGTTATTGCACTTCACTCGAAGTGGGTCATACTTAGTCTCGATTGGTGCTGGCCTCTGTCTCGACGGACACTTTGATCTTTGGACTCGGTGCCTCGTCTTCGAGCTCGGGTCTGATTCATTACGAGGTTACCCCCTATGCAGCTCCTTTGTTTCGATCAAATAGCAAAATCGGGTAGACCCGATTGTGACCATATACAGATAGTCTCCTCGTTTTTTAAAGTGTAATGAGAAGAAACGAACTGAGCCTTCGATTTTGCACCTCGACCAATCATGATGTCACCCTCGTGATGTAAGCGACGGAGGCGACTGAAGCGTCGCGTCTGCATAGTTCTCAAGATCATTAGTTAGTGCCAGTTGATGGCCGGCCACTAATACCTTTGAATCGTCATGGCAAACATTATAAATAGACCCTCTTCATAATTTTTTCAAACTTTACTTTCAAAACTTTTTTAATCTTCAAAGCTCTCCTACTTCCTTCAAGTTCCTCAATTCCGCAAATTATCTACATCCCGTTCGCCAATCCTCTCTTAAAATAACAAACTTCATCTTCTTCTTTTTCTTAACTCACATAGACATGGCGAAAAAATCTAAAACCGTTCCCCAAAACGAAAAAGCCTCTTCTTCGCGGCCGGTGATAAAACGCCGGTGGAGCCACGCATCGAGGAGTATGTTCCGGGGTCGTGCGATCTTACCTCTGATTTCAAGATCGAGAAACCCTCGTTTGTCCCTGGCCGATGTGAGTCGATGTCGAGATACATATGCTCGATAACTAAGGGCGACCTGAGGCAAGTAAAAATGGATTTCCGTTGGGAAGGCAAAGAGGTGGTGATCCCGACCCCTGAAGAGGACATCACCACTCACGTGAAAGGGTTCTTGAGTGTTTACACTTACCCTTTTACGTTGTGTCCCGTTGACCCCGTTATCCTTGGTTTCTACCCCCAATACCAAATAACCCCGGGCCAGATCCATCCTTCCTTCTGACACATTGTTATCTTGCTCCTATTCTTCGTGAGCCAAGTCGAGGGGATGCCTTTTACTCTCGACCACCTTATTAGAATGTACAACCCCAGTCTCTATCGAGGCGGGTTGATAAGGCATCAGCGTCGGGCCACCAGGGTGCTATTCTCGAGCATAGATGAGGACAAGGACCGATGATAGATGGGCCAGGTTGTCCGAGTGAGGACTTTAGACATAATTTCGGCCGAGAAGATGCCGTTCCCTGAAGAGTGGAACATAAAGCATAAGCACGAACTCACTTATAGTTTCCGTCTACCGTTTTTTTTTGTCTTTTCGTATCCTTTCCTATGATACAACGGTTTCTTAGGTGTCCGGTGCAATCCCGAACCTTGAAGGCTAGGTCGGGAAGCTGGCCTTGACCTCTTCGTACTTTGAGCGCTGTTGGCGTTATTTGGCCAAGGGACAATGGGAGGCCAAAAATCACAGTAAACTTCTCTATCGTGTTTGATACCTTTTTGTGAAATGTGTCGAATCGTGGCTAGGGAACTATACTAGCGACCTACCCAATTTATTGTAGAAATTTTCGCGATCAATGATTGGACCATGCAAACTAGAAATGCTTTTTCTTGGCTAAAGAAACAGATTACTCGATCTATTTCCGTATCGCTCATGATATATATCTTAACTCGGGCATCCATTTCAAGTGCATATCCCATTTTTGCACAGCAGGGTTATGAAAATCTACGAGAAGCGACTGGGCGTATTGTATGTGCCAATTTTTCTTATTTTTACTTGATTTCCTCCCATAGAGGTCTCGGAGACAATGCTGCCATGAGGCCGCCCCCACCTGGGGAAGAGGAGACCCCGAAAATGGCTAAGGACAAGAAGAGGAGAAGGGCCTCGCCTTCTGACACTTTAAAGCCTAAGAAGAGAAAAGCTCGTAAGTCGAAAAATGATAATGCCGCTCTCTCTGTCGACGTAGCCCAAAAGCTACAAGATGAAGAAAAGGAGGGAGAGTATGCTGACTGTGAGTTGGTGGCTCGAAAAAGGGGATGCATCGAAGCTTCAAAAGCAGCTGAGCCAGTGATGGTCGAGGAGGCTCATCTTCGTACCGAGGAGATCTCGGAAGATGATCCGAGCAAAGTCCCCTTAGTCATCGGGGGATGAAGATGTCTCCCGCCATGACGAACAACCGGCGAGTGTGCTTGTCTGCCGTGACAAACAACCGGCGAGTGTGCCTGTCCGCCGTGACGAACAATCGACGGGCATTCCTGAAGGGTTCGGTTCCGAGGCCATTCAAAACGGAGAGAGTGCCCTAAGTGACTTTCTTGGGGCAATCAATATTGATGATCCGCCGCCCGGCCCCGCTAAAGGGCAATTTCGGGAGGCACAGTATATGGAGACCCCCGATGTGGGAACGACCCACGAAACGGATGATATATTCCATGGCTGCTTCACGGGGGTCGATAACGTTTCCGACCTAGATGCAACGATCATTTTTTATGCGGATCGGCGACTCCTGAAACCAGGTAAATTTTAGCCCTCGTTATTAGGTTTACGTTTGTTTTTATTTCCTTTTGTCTGATTTCCTTCCTTTCTCCATAGGCTGTGGCGCTTCATCGAGAAGTATTTTCCAAATCCCGAGCTGAGCTGAGTTGGTGTGAGGCCGATCTCAAAAGGCTCACAGAGGAGAGAAACGCCCTCAAACCCCTCTCTATGTGCAAAAAGAATAGGAGATCAGGGACCTCGGAGCTGAATTGGCAAGAGCTCATAAAGAGCAGACCGATCTCATCGAGCAGGTAACATAAATTTTTGGGGAGCTTGACATATCAATTTGATATTGGCGACTAACACTTAGATCATGCAGGTTCAGCAGAAGGCCAAAAAAATTGAGCAGCTTCGCGAGGAGGTTGAGGTGAAAGAGGCAGAGGCTTTGGGGTGGAAGCAAAACATGGACCGTTTTGCCTCGGAGAAAGATACCGCTCGGGCCCAGCTATCTTCGGCTGAGTGTCAACTCCAAAGAATGAAGAGAGAGAGCTTGGATCGAGCCAAGAAAATTGAAGAGCTCGAGACTCGGCTGGTCGCTGAGCTTGCAAAGGCCGCATCTGTAGTGGAAAAAGTAAAGGCCGACGCGGAGGCGATCATGGCCGTCTACCGAGCCGATGCTGAAGCCGCTAATGCTCAAGTAAAGGAAATTTTCGATGCTGCTCAGGTTCGATTATCCGGCGTTGCATGCTAAATGCCAGTCTCATAGAGAGACTCTCGAAGAGATTCATGCTCGTGGCTTTGACCTCACTGCCCATATAGTGAATGCGAAAATGCTAGAGGCCGAAGCCGAAGCTTTGCTCTCTAATGATTGTTGATACCCTATTTATCCCTCATATATTTCAAATATACATATATACTTTCAAAAGAGTGCATATCCATCATCATTTGATTCATAAACACATGCAAGTATTTTTCTACATTTTCCATAATTTTAAAGATTTTAAATCAATTTATTCTCTTATTTTATTAAATAAATAATCATTAATTGCATCACATAATAATTTTATGTGATTTTATCATCTAACATCATCATTTATATCCATATTAAGTTTTAATTATTTTTGGTGCATTTATTATAATTACATTTGCATTTTTAAGGCTAAAATTGCACATTTTGCAATAAT